AGTCACTGGCTATCTTTTAGCTCTGCCACCCACAATTTTATTCTTTTATTTCAAGATTCTCACACATAAGTTTATCCAACCTACTGCTTTAACAGTCAACAATATCAACCACTCTTCAGTCTGAAGTTTCTTTGGCATTTACTGCTTCATAACACACCTTCACCTAGCTATATGTTATGTTTAGTTGCATTGTGTGCTTGGAAGGAAGCTCCCAGAAAGCAAAAGCACAACCCAACTACTCCCAATTACTTCACGTGCTCAACAAAGGTGTCATTCCTTAAAAAAAAGTCTGACTGTACTACAGAGGCCAGAGGTCTACCAAGACTAAATCCAGACTGGTGAATCCACACTGGGGAAAATCATGTGATTGGCTCCACAAATCTAGCAACGTCAATCCTGACCAGTTTGGATTTCTCATCCCTACCATTCCTACTGAAAGGCTTGGCTTTGCTACATGAATAGAACATTTTTCTTCCATTTCAAGTTCTCCATTGATTACTGTAACTTATTCCCTATACCCACTTCATATTAGTATTTTTATAAATAGGAGCAAAATTAATGGCACACTTTTAAGTAAGAGTTCATCCTAAGGTTTTGAGTATTTTGATTTTGGGGGTGGGAGTAGGTTATAGTAACAGTAACAGTTGTAATTCCTGCTCTCTGTAGAGTACTTCTTAAGATGACACCACTGGATCAGAACTTTAAGCAAAAATGCAACACAAAATGCCTGCAACTGTTTGTTGGTCTGACTTCTTTGATTCCTTGACCGAAAATTACTCATCTCACTTYCCATAAACAGGTTCTAGAGTCAGTCAGTTCTAGAGTCAGTCATGTCAGTTTCCCAGTCCCATAAAGCTGCCAGATTAAGCCTCTGAAATTGAACTACACACATGTTGAATAAACATTCGGTACAAATTCTGGACTCATAATAATAAAAAATTATTTCTGGACTTCTAGTAACAAAAATAATAAGATACCCAAGTAGYCATGTAACAGTTCTTTCATAATTCCAATTTTTCAAGTTTAACACATTGATCACTTATCAGCCATTTTCCATTCCCCTCATGAAATGATGTTCAAATAGTTTTCATTCCCACTCTGCCATAACACAATTATTAAATAGGATAATGCAAAAGTAGCCCACTGAGATTTCTTACACTTGGCTTTACAACAGTGCCTGTTACACACCACAGTCATCAAATGAGAGCTGTGAAGGCTTCTGAGCTACTGAGGAAAGCAAGGTCCTTACCTCCAAAACTGAAAAGAACTTCAGAGGCTGATAAGGCCAAGTTTATCCTAAAGTTTGTAAAAGCTTCATTCTTRCAATGCAGCTACTAGATGCCTAACAAAGTATCATCTCCATCTCACAGCTGTTCTCAAATTGTTCTCCTTTCCCAGCTCTGTATGTTATTTTCCTCTTTGTAATGTTTAATCTCAATATATAGTTATTCAGTAAGTGCTAACACTTCAGTGAAAATCTGGGGGGAAAAATACAGCCATAACAGATGCTGAATCCTTATAATTCTCATTCTACAGCCACCAAAAAATAAGTGTTTCATAAGTTTGGATAATTAAGAATCACCTCTCAAACATTCAGCAGTCTGTTAGCCAAGATACAAAGGCCTATGAAATTCACAGTTCTACTTAAAAAAACTTCTCTGAGTAGTACAATTGTTCACTTATAAAAGGAAAAAAAAATCAAACCAAGAACACAGAACCAACAACTTATATTGTAGATGAACTACTGATTAGTCTGAGAGTAAAGGAAAGTTACACTGAATTTTGAGACTGCTATTTCAGAACCGTTGTAACTGTATCACCTTCCAAGACAGAAGACTACAACTATCACCTATCCTATGACATTAAAAAAAAAAGAAAAGAGCACAAGGAGAAGCTACATTAGAAATGTGCCTTTGTTTTGTCATACAAAATTTATTTCATGCTGGTTTAGCCCATTCAAGACAGACTGTCAGGACCCTGAGGATTCCCAAACTCCTCACAGGTGGTCAGACTCCCTCTCCTTACTAACACCTTACCTAGTCATCAGAGGACTGTTGGCTGACCCTGTTAACTTTCACTGGACATGATCCTGATTCTGGCTTGGCTTTCTAAATTGGCCTCAGATCTGTCTCCCTCTCTATAGACTTGCCTAACTGAATGCAGTTACCATCACCACATCTGCTCTGGTCCCCATGTTTGGGTGCTCTGACACTGCACCATTTGTAAGTGAGAACTTCAAAAAGTGTGAATTCACACTCACAAGCTATGACAAGTGTCTCTTAGTAAACAAAATAAAATAGATTTCATTACTAGCCTGCTTCCAATCACGATAACCTGAGGTTACACCAACTGTGTACTTTCACACTGCTACATCATATTTTAACAGGATTCTCAAAGGAGTCTCACTTCGTGTGGTACACCGATGCATATTCTTCTGCACAAYTCTGTACTGATCAAAAGCTTGTAAATGTTAGCATGTCATTTATTTCCTTGTTTCAGTATCCTCTGTATTTCAAAAGAACCCATATTTTGGCTCTGTCAGTATAGCATTCAGAGAAAATTAATTAGAGAGGAATACTACTTCACAAGCACACCTGACTTTGGATTCAGTTCTAGTTTGTTGCTTTTTAAAGAGGGAAAAAAGAAAAAGCAGTGGTTAGGTAGCCACTAGTCTCAAAATCCACAGCATTTCATGATCAAGCCAGTGAGCTAATTACAGTTTTTCCAGCAAATAATTTAATCTTACACTTCCAAAAGTATTAACTACCCAAAATACTGAGCAAACTAGATGTTTATGATGCTTTACCTTTATCTTTCCAGCTAACATTTTTTATTTGATTCAACATCAAGCAAGAAGCTCTGCTCTAATCCTTTCATTAAAAGGAATAAGAACAGTCACAGGAAACCTCCCATGCAGACCACAGTCAGTCAGTAAGATCAAAATATTTAAGAAAAAAAGAGGCTCTATCTTTAGACCTTGGCAACAACTCCTCCACCTGATGCGTTCCCACCCCTTCTCTGCCATCCTACTTTGTGATTTGATATTAGCACAGGAAGCAGCTTCAAAAGCAAGGAAGACAACTAATCACAACATACATAAAATTAACAAGCAAAGATAATGTGAGTACATTAGAATACAGTATTCAGACAACATGACTTAGGCTGCCAGAGTCCATCTTGAAATACTGGTTCTACGCATAAAGTATTTTAAAACACACAGACAAAATTTAAATACAGACATGCACTGATACCCACTAATTTCAAAGGTGTTTTGCCAACAAGATGGCATTAAGCTTTGGCTTATACATGAGGCCTTTYGCCCCCTCAAGTTAAATGCACAGGTAAGCAAAGGTATGCAAGATTACCTTTTCTAGGGAGTAAAATGAGATGSAAGTTAGCAAAGACTGAAGGAAGGGAAAATGGCCTCTGAGAGAGGAAAAGTACACAGCATTCYTGAACCATCTTCTGCAAATAAAGAAATACAGAACAGTGTGCTTCACATTACAGAGAAGCTGTTAYAGAGTCCTCTTATCATGATGCAGATGAGAAGTAGAGCATGTATTCCGCCCAACAAGAAGTCACAAAGCCTTTCCCTGAAGACAAACTGGAACACACTTTTCCTCTTTAATCAGTGTCTTCAAACTGGAAGTAGGGTTCAGGCAGGTGCCTAGTTTAAGTCTCATAAAACTACACAGGACCAGATACAAGGACTGATGAGCACTGCAGAGGCAGCTATACTGTATCTAATACCCCTAAGTGCCCTGGATTAAATTTTGCTAATGTTATTTGATTCACTATTACAAAAAGTAATACGGAAATATGGAGGAAAGGGACCATGTATTTCTGTTGCTGAAGACACATTCTAGAATGACACCTTTTCACTGCTTGGTGCCAAGACGAATAGTGGTCACTGACATTGGTACCAGCCAAAATTATTGTTGGCAGCAGACTCAACACCAGGACTTGTGTTCATCTGGAAGGTCATTGTACTGTGTACAACAAGTGAAAACAGCTTTTGGCCTAAGGAATTCTAGCCTAATAAATACTATTGCCGATGCTTTATGATCATAAAAACTAAATTAACGATTCAGACAGACTCTATGGAACATTATGCTTCCAGAATATATATGCACAGAAGTATGCTTGAAATGTGACATCTCAATTTTTGRAAAACTTGATTATTCCAGCTACCATTCTGAACTCGCTGCCATATACTATCTGCGTGCTTTGAAGTGCCTGCAAGAAGTTCAGTAACATTATACAAGTAGGTAGCTTCATAAGTTAGTTGAACTGGATTCAAGTAACAAAGAAAGAAAAGAACAGGTAGGGCAGCATCGGGGAAGGTCAGCTCATTTTGACAGATGAAGCAGAACAGTGAGTGAAGAAAGAATTCACAGGTGTATGACCAGTCAAYAGTGCAAAACCTGAAAGCTTTATAGTACATTACAACAAAGCAGTTTGAGATGCAGCATAGAAATCATGTTCAGCCACTGGTACCCTGATTACTTCAGGCATAGGGTAAGGGAACAAGTAATCTTGAAGAGGATGGGAGGAGGCTAGAGAGGAAAAGAGGGTAAATTCACTAATTCATTAAGCTTAACTATCTGCCTTAATCAGACGAAAGAAAAAAAGGCTGTAGTAGAGTTACCCCTGGCACAAAGCTAGAGTCAAAATTAAAAAAAAAAAAAAAACAAAAAAACAAAAAACCCACAAGACTTTTCCATCGAAATATTGCATCTGAAATACGATTCCTTTGATTTTAGCTACAGAAGGAAACACGGAACCCTGAAATTGTGAAACACTTATCCTCCGCGTCCTGCTCCCACCCCCACTCCGAGCCTCCGTGTCCCGCTGAGGGCAGAGACCCCGGCCTGCAGCTCCGACGGGGCCCTTCCCTCCTTGCTTCCTTATTTCCTTCCCCCTTTACTTCCTTCCTTCCTCCCGCGGCTCAGCGCAAACCGACACCGAGGAAACATCACGGCCGCCCGCCGCCCCCTCACCTTGAAGGGGTTGTTGAGGTCCGGGTCGGCGAACGGGTTGCTATCGAAGTCCGACATGGCGGGGGCAGGCGGGCCCTGCGGTCCCCGGGCGGCCGTTCAGCCCTGGCGGCGGCTCTGCTCCTGCAGCGGCGCCCCAACAGTGCCCAGCGCAGGTGTCCCCCGTCCCCGGCCGCTGTCACGGCCGCTGTCACGGCCCTTGTCACGGTCTCTGTCACAGCCCCGCAGCCCGGGCCGAACCCGAACCCGCCCCCGCCGCACCGACCGGCCACGGACCGCCCAAAATGGCCGCCCCGGAAGTGAAGTTCCGGGTGGGTAGGCCCTGGGAGGGAGAAAGGGATGAAGGGATGAAGGCGGAGCGGCCGCTCTCGGRGTGGGCGAGAGTAGAGCTCATGCCTGAGACGGGCTGCTCCCGGGGCGTGGGCGGGGCGAGAGGAGTGTGACCAGAGTCCTTTCGCGGGCTGGCTGGGGGTTCGGGATAAGCTGGGCGGGGYGCGGCTGTCCTCGCTCTCAGCTGCTCCTCTGGGGCAAGGGGGGCCGGGTATTTGTTTTCGGTATTTATCGCCGGCAGCAGTGGAGCAAGGAGGCCCGGGGCTCCCCGGTGGGCACCTGGGAGGGCGGGCAGCGGCGGCCCGGCCAGGTGTGTGCGCGGATGTCCCGGCCGCAGCCGGGCCCGTGCGGCCTCCCCGGCCCTGCGCCCCCCCAGCCCTCAGAGCGGGTCGGGACAGCCGCTCTGGGTTGGGCAGTGAAATGGCCATGTGAAGGCAGTCAGAAAGCCTTACTTGGTAAAACACGAATTTACTCTCTCGTTTCCGTCCCCTGTTGGCATGGTGAATAGTTTACCCAGCTTGTCGCTGCTCAGGTGTGTTGCACAAAGGTTCAACGAGGGCGGTCACARAACCCTGCTTCCGTGGGAGTCTTACTGGGATTAGTCAACCATTTCCAACGGTTCAGAAGACTTCTTAAATACTTCCTCAGGAATGCTGACAATGCAGCTTGAAGAACCTGGTCTGAAAGATGCAAATAAATGCAAGGAGCACCTTTGGTTCAGAGCTACGGCTGAAGTCTGAAATTCAGTGCCCTTGATCCCAAAACAATCTGCATCGATGCAATACTTTCAAAACCAGTGAATCCTGAATTTCTCTGCRTGCTTTCCAGAGAAATTACTTGAATTTTCATTTAAAGCCAGAAAAGAGAGGTTTGAGGTAGGTCACACAAAATGAAATTWCTAGAAAAGTAAACCTGTTGCCTTTTGCTATTCAAATGTGTCCTTTTTCCCCCATGTAGTAATTAGAGGAACTGTGAGGCATTGTAGTGGTAGCACTTCTATGATTTTGAATAGGTGTACATGTCTCATTACTCTGGTCTCTACACTGGTAGTCATTACAATGGGGCTGTTCTGTCAACAGGTCAGGAAGAATCCTACAGGTACAAGAGAATTGATTTTGCATGGATCAGTAGAGATAGCAATACTGGCTTCAAGGTCTGCTSTGACTTATGCAGGTGTTTCTCAGTTTTTGTGAACGATTGTCAGACATAAAATCGTATGGAAGTGGGACAAATCATAAAAGCATATCTTCTAAGCAAAACACTTTCAACTTTTTGGTTGCTATGTATTGGAAAATACTTTAAAAAATTAAAAGGCAGCTGTTGCACAATCAACAAAAGTACATTACAGTATTACAATCATACATTGTATATCACTCAGTTACAGTGACAGCAAATTAAGTCACTTTGCCAATATTCACCCATGGCTCAATATATCATGGCTCAATGATTTATGCTGATAGTCCAAATGCTGTGTGCGCTGTTAACTGTATTTGCTTCTCTTTGAGCTGAACATGAATGCATGCATGCATGAATGAGTGAAGGTTTGGCTGAATATATTTTCCTATATGGTTGCTGGTGCTTCAAATAACAGGCACTGTGACATTCCTATGATAATAATTTGTGCACAGTTACAGAGGAATAATCTATCATCTTCTATGCCTTTCAAGGCAATAATGAAACTGCAACAGGATGTKTTTTTTTAGGAAGAATAGTAAGTATTTTACAAAAATTTCAGGCTAGCRCATCCAGTCACTAGTGGGGTCCACAGTGCTCCATCCTCTTCAGCATCTTCATTAACAATCTGGGCACAGGATCTGAAGGAACACTAAATAGGTTTTCTGACATTAAATTTGGAAGAGCTGTTGACTCCTTTGAGGGCAGAGAGGCCCAGCAGAAAGATCTCAACAAATTGAAGGACTAGAGAATCAGCAGCTGTATGAAGTTCAGCAGTAAGGGGAAGTGCTGGGTTATGCACCTAGGAAGGGATAACCATGAAGGTATGGACAGACTGGGGAATGAGAGGCTGGAGAGCAGTGCCACAGGAAAGGGACCTGAGGGTTCTGGTCCATGGCAAGTTGGACATGGATCAGCAGTGCCCTGGCAGCCAGGAGGGYCACCCGTGTCCTGTGGGCATCAGGCACAGCATCACCAGCCAGGCAAGGGAGGGGATTGCCCTGCTTTGCTCTGGGCTGTGGTGGCCTCACCTCGAGTGCTGGGGACAGTTTTGGGTGCCACAATATAAGAAAGAGATAAAGATACTGGAGAGTGTCCRAAGGAGGGCAGCAAAGGTGGTGCAGGGTCTGGAGGGGAAGCCATGTGAGGAGTGGCTGCGGTCACTTGGTCTGTTCAGCCTGGAGGACACCGAGGGGAGATCACATTGCAGTCTTCAACATCCTTGYGAGGGGAAGTAGAAGGGCAGGTCCTGATCTCTTCATTATTGTAACCAGTGACCAGAAGTGAGGAAATGGCATGAAGCTGAGTTGGGGAAGGTTTAGGTTGGGTATAGGAGCAGATGGTGGTTGGGCTCTGGAAGAGGCTCCCCAAGGAAGCAGTCATAGCATCAGCCTCACAGAAATCAAGAAGTGTTTGGACAATGCTCTCAGGCCCATGGTGCGACTATGATTCTATGATGTATCATTTCTATGATTCTATGATTAAAAGAAAGAACTTTGKTAGAATGTAAATACTACCAAATTCTACTATAAATGCTATCATTCTACTGCGGGTGTTAACTTTGGGATTTACCAACTGACTGAAAGTTTATAGAAAATAAAAATCAGTTATTCTATCCAGCTAATTGAGTAGTTTGTACTACACCACATGGGCAATATAAACTATAAACTTTCGACACTGAGGGTTGTCATTGTCATTTTCATCATCTTCCACAAGTAGAAAGATTGAGAACAAAAGGTTCAAGGTGCAGAATGGTGCTTTCTTGTTTTCAAATCAACTTTACACAGTTTGCAGAGTTTGAGAGTTAGAAAAGAGACATGATTAGCCAGGGATGCCCACCCTCAAAAAAACCCCTCTCTACAATGTGCTTTCCAAATGGCAGAACTGAWTTTTTTTTTTTTTATTAGAATTACCTACTCACTGTCAACTGTTTCTAATTCTGTTACGAGGTATAGCTCATAAATACTTCAAGTTGATTTATAAAATGCTAGTAAGTTTATTGAAAAGTAACTTCTGGTAGAGAATGAGTGACATTATTTAGAATAAAATTTCTTTCTCTACTGAAAATTCCCCAGCCTTCTGGAATTGGTTTAACGCAATGCTTTTCAATAATTCTAAATCATATACTTTCTTAGAAAAGGAAAGTATCTTAATCTGAATTGACTGTTTCTTCAGAAAGAGGTGTTCAAACTGCTTCTGTGAGTGCTGTACTTGGATGCTGTGTTTTAAGGAATGCTGTGTAAGGAATTGACTTGATGCTATTCTTTCAAATCCTGGTTCTCTCAATTTYCTATGACTCATGGATTTTACAATGCTGGTGCCAACCTCAGCTGGTACTGAGCAGTGCTCWGATCAGCTGACAAGAAAATCCATCAGGGTTTTCTTCAGTGTAAAATGTTCAAGTGCTGAGTGGACAACCAAGTGATCTGTCTTGAACAGTAGTCTGTGTCAATGAAATAGATCACAGTTTTACAGAGARTGGACCTTCAAATAATAAAACTCAGCTGTAACAAATCACTTTAACTCTTTAACCTTYAAGTCTATAAAGAGTGTTTCCTCTCATAAAGAGAAGTGGTCTTTTCAGCATCAAATGTAAGCACGATGGTCAGAAGAAAGTGGGGATGACAAATGACCATGTGCCACATGAGCACATAACTAAGACTCTGCTGCAAAAGTTGGGCAGAACTATTGGCATGCAAGACTGGGTACCTGCTAGAAACTCAYGTAGTAGAAGTGAGGAGCAAAACTTTGGGGTAGTACAAGTGCAAGTTACAGCTTCATATTAGATCCTGTGCAGATACCAGTTGTAGAGTCTTGCAAAAATTTAGGCAGAAGATCCCTAGTCTGTTAGGTAAAACTTTACATGATGAGTTATTCAATAGTAACCCCTGGAACAATCTGAAATAGCAAGAACATTTTTCTAGCTTTTACAGCAAAGACATTTACTTCCAAAAAACGTTGAAAATATTTTAACTTTAGGGGAGGAATGCTAAACAGGCATTTCAATTAAATACTTAAAGATAATGAGCTGCCATTTTCCCCAAATGTTTTACATCAATTTAAAAGAAAAATACATGGTAAAAATAGGAGAAAGGTCAGAAATCACAGCAGCATGCAGAACTATAGATACAGACTCCCATTTCACCTCCCTTTCTTACAATCAATAAAGTCCTGATTCCACAAGATAGTAATTCCAATGCAGATGACTGAATTGAATGCTCTGTTTCCAGCATACAGAATGTTAAGCTAATATAAGCTTGTTTTCATTGTCTGAAGTTGTTGCATTAGTGTTTTTCTGGGAGTGGGGCAGCTTTGCCAGCTCCACTGTCAGAAGTTACACCAGCACTCTTATCCAAGTAGAACCGGCTTAGCCAGCTTGCAAGAGGCAGTGTGTGACCAAGCCAAGTCCCTRGAGTCACTCAACAAGAGCAACACTGAATGCTCACAGGCTGGTGAGCACCTTGCCCTTCTTATAAGAACCCTGACTACTTTCTGAAGCCCTACACTCAGGTTTTCTCACTGTGTTCCCGAACTGTAGCAGGAAGTTTGGAATTCTTCTGTAAAGAGCTTACCTTTTTGGGAAGAGAAGAAGGATTTCCAGGGCAATAGCTAATATGCAGAGGGGAGCAAGTAAGGGGTACACAGCCTAGTACTGCCAGTCATCCCATGGCCTGCATGCCTGGGCGCTACCCCATTCTCTTGCTGTGGCTGTTGCTGCCCTGTACACACCCCAGACCTGCAATAGGATAAGAATATTCAATGTTCCTCATGCCCCTCAGGAGGATCAGAACTGGACTT